GACCACCAAGACACCAAGACCGGACCACCAAGGCCACCGAGCACCACCAACACCGCCTAGACCGCCACAATCACCACTAAGACCACCGAGACACCAAGACCGGACCACCAAGGCCACCGGGACCACCAAGAGCACCACCAACACCGCCTAGGCCGCCACAATCACCACCAAGACCACCGGGACTACCAAGACTAAAGTAGTCTGAGCGAGATACTCTAACATTACATGACCTTCTACTTAAGTAGTCGAAACGAGATAGGGCCTCCACATAATAGATTGCGCGTTTGAGCTCAGTACCAAATAAATGCCGCCGCACATATGTAAGCTGACCGTATATTTAAATCGTACCGTATATTCATTCCGTATGTTTAAAGGGTCGGGCCGGGCTGGCAAAAACCTTGCCGGAGGTAGTCTAAAATACCTGTTTACCTGTTTTAAAAATCATATATTTAAAAAGCGATACCGTAGCTTCTAGTTACTACTAGTAAGGCACTTGTTACTAGGCACTTGTTACTACTAGTAAGGCACTTGTTCCTAGGTGGCTTGGGTGAACTTCAGCGAGATTTGCGCCATGATGAAGCGCCCGCCTGACCACGTGCAACAGTTCGGGACCGAGAACGCGAGGATGTTGCAATCCGTGTGATCCGGTGAGAGGGGTTGATGTTGGGGTTTTGGGTGGTTCACATACCAACGCTTTTGAACGTTTTGGTTTCAAAAGGAACTGGAATCGATCCTTGGAAAGGAGTCCCAGACTGTTTTTAAAAGGAACTGTTACCCCCCCCACACCTAGAAACCTAGAAGGTCCCACACGTAACTTGGGGCCTTCTCTGTTCGCCTTCCCTTTTTCTTTCCATCTCCGTCGCACTCCGTCTCGCGCGTGTTGACCAGGTTCGTGCTGGCGGAGTTCGGCACCGAGGGCGCCATCGCCGGCACGGCCACCGCGCGCGCCGAGGGACAGGGCGCCGACGGCCAGCCACGCGGACCGCGGGGAGACGGGGGTCCGATGGGTGGTGGGCGCTGGCCATGTGGAGGGACGGAATGGGGGAGGGGTGGTGTGGTACCACAGGCAAGGGTTGTTTGGGTGAAACTTGGAAAGCAGAATGGCAAGGCTGCTATAGCTGCATCTTTTTGTGGGTTGCGGGTGCAGCCTCGTTTGCACTGGAAATGATTTTGGGGTGCCTCGTTTCTGAGCAATTTGACATGGGGTGTTTGTGGGGCTAGCAAAGGTAGAAGGAACGAACTGCTGCGGGGTCGAGCCCATTTGGCAGATTGCAAAAGAACCACAGCTTGTTCAGTTCCGAATATAGGGGATTCCCAGTGAGGAGCCTTTCAGCCAATCATGACTTTGTTGATCCAAAAGGATCAGTCGCAAGTGTGGCCAGTCACATGCACCTGCACGAGTCGAAAGGCGGTCGAAAGGCCACGCCATGAGGTTTGGGGAACTATGCAAACGCGTGTGTTTGGTGCGACACGATCAAAATGGGTTGTGGCAAGACACCATCAGTGACATAGATTGGAAAGCATTGGGACCTAGAATGGACCTACTTTGGCTAAAGGCTAAAAACTCAGCAACGTAGTAGTACACGTGGTGGTACAGCTTTGACTGTGTGCTTCTGATGTCGTCCCGGAATTCACGTCCTGTTCCTGAGGTTAGTGTTGAAGGGCCGATATCAGCCCAAGCACTGCGAAAGTTTGCTTCGAAAGTACATCAAGGCCTGATTCGAAAGCTTGTAGTAACAAGTGCCACGCTAGTAGTAACAGGTGCCTTACTAGTAGT